AGTTGTCATTTTGTTAATTGTACTAAAGGGATTATATCCCGTTAAATAAATAAATAAATAAATAAATAAATAAAAAAAATCAACTCTGAACTAGTGCAGCCAGTACTAGCAATAGAAAGCAGACCCATAATTCGGATGATATTTTATGGTCAGTCTTTTTTCAACTGATATATTCACGCCTAAGATTGTCCGAGAGGAGTCGAATAGTATAAGACCAGTCAATTTAAACATAAATAAAAACATTTGTTGGGGTATAGTAATGAATTTTTAATGTAAACTCATAAAGATAAGGCTCCTAGTAAAAAATCTGATGAGATTTATTAAAAAGGGGGTTGGGACAAGCCGCCATTTTGTTTTTTAGAGAGCTGAAAACATTTTTGCGGTTTTCGCGCAAATATTTCGTTTTCGCTTGATTTCTCGTAAAAAATGTTTATTATCAATCTTGTAGAAAAAAAATTCTCTACAACTTTTGTTTGAAACTTTTTTTCGTGCGGTAAATAGCTTCTGACAAATGAGTTACAGCTGCGTAAAGAGTGCAATTTTAAGAAAATTGTTGGAAATATGCATTTCATTGTTATTAAAAAAATATATATAATCGTACCACAATATCAAGTTTTAATTAGATTCAAAGCGAAAGATATCATATATAAAACAGACTGTACGATTATTGACATTTCAAACAATATTTTATCCGCGAGAGAATAGAAAATAATGTTTTATTTGTTTAATGACGGATAACACTGCGATAAATGTCATTATTTTGAGTTTTTATAAATTGAATATATAACAATTACGATAGTTTTCGATTATTTACTTTGTTTATAAATAATAATAACTTTTTTTTAATTAACTTATTACTTTGCGATACCTATAGTTAATAACGTGTTTGATATCACTGTATTTCTTTTCGATGGTCCGGGTTGTTTATCATTAAATTATTCGTATCGTCATTATCCTTATTGTCTACTTCATTATCCTTGTCTTCTTCTGTTTCACGCAGTACTAATTCGTAAAATATTAAAGCATTATTGTCTGTCTGGATTTCTTTATCATTTACTTCATCTACTTCTTTGATATCATATCTTGTAAAGGAACATTGTCGCAAGTTTGTCCACTGCATTGCTCCAGCTGATCTCCTGTAAGCGCAAAACAAAATGCAGAGCAGCTTGTGACTGCAGAAAAGCAGGTCGATTATTTGCTAGCATTGCAGTGGACAAACTTGCGACAATGTTCTAAATCTACGAAATGGTATCGAAGAAGAAGATAAAGTAAATGACGAAAAAATCCAGACAGACAATAATGCTTCAATATTTTACGAAGTAGTACTGCGAAGTAGACGAGGGTAATAACGACAAAGAATTTAATGATGAACAACCCGGACCATCGAAACGAATACAATTGCAGTAACATCCTTCGACTACAACATAATAACACTTAAAAAAAATGCGTCATTAACTCTATTGCAAAGTAGTAAGTTAATTTAAAAATAGTATATTATATCACACGTGCGTGGAAAGTGGCCCATTTCGCGCGCGCCATCTGTGCGACAAATAGCCAATTTTCCACGCGAGAAATTCCCCACTCGAATCCGTGCAGGAATAAGATATTATGTCACACGTGCATGGAAAGTGGCCCATTACGCACGCGACGCGTGCGTGATAGACCACTTTCCACGCACTTGCAACATAAAATAGGGTGTGTAACACGTGTGTTACGTTGAAAATTGGACGTGCGGAGTGGACTGTAAGGATGGTCGAATTAATTAAGAGATGACTCTTGGAATATGTATATATATTTGATAACTGGTACAAAGGTATTTGCGGGAACGAACGTAATTGCGACTTGGCTCTTCTCAGGACTATTCGAGACTGCCCTAGACCGCGGGAAAGTCTCCGGCTCGTGCGTCCACTTCGCACGTCCAATTTCCATCTTACAGCACTTGTTACACAAATAACTATTCCCGCACGGCTTTGAGTGAGAAATCTCTCGCGTGCGGAATCGGCCATCCGTCGCACAGATGGCGCGCACGCAATAGGCCACTTTCCACGTACTTTGTAATATAAAATAGGGTATGTAACACGTGCGGGTTGAGAATTGGACACGAGTGCGGGTGATCGCACTCGCCAAATTTTCAACTTCCCGCACTTGTTACACAAATAACTATTGTACAGCTAGTGGGAAAAGTGGTCGATTCTGAATAAGTGTAAAGTTGCTTCGCTTTGCTCGTGCGACCATCACACTCATTTGGGCTCGATCACTCTTCTTCCCATGAGTTGTTCATACTATTTTTCCTAACAAAAGCGTGAAACAGGCCGCTTTTCGCGCTTGTTTTACAATTTCATTTCTCCACTAGTTGAGAAATAGCTCCATGTTTCAACGCTTACGTCATTATTGCGAAATGGATCGTTTTGCTCACTCAAGACAAGCGCGAAAAGCGGCCCATTTCACGCTCACGTTAGGAAAATGTTATTTATTATTTATTAATAAAGTAAATAATCAAAAACTATCATAATTGTTATGTATTCAATTTATAAAAGCTCAAAATAATGACATTTTCCTATAGAAATGCATATTTCTAACGATCTTCCTAAAATTGCACTCTTTCTTTCGCATTGGCGCTCCTTAGGTACATTATTATTATTACACTTACACTATTTTTTAGGTAAATGATGTAAATAAAGATTGAAACGACCCAACACGCGAACAATTTCTTTCTTTTACGAAAGTAAAGTATGCTATCGTAAAGAATTCAATATCTTGATGTCCGTTTGATATCTATTATAGATTTCAATCTATGTACGATTTCTATATCTATATATATAAGTCACGTCTGTCTGCCTGTCTGTCTGTCTGTCTGTCTGTATGTACGCGAACTACTCATTCGTTAGTGGACCAAATTTTTACCAAAAGTATATGAAACAGGGGTAGAATTTCCCGGGGATGAAAATGTCGTGGCCATTTTTTTGCTACCGATTTTCTGGAAACCGATTTTTCTAATTCTTCTAATTTTTCGGGAAATAATTGACTGAATTTAAAAGAATTATATGTGAAACAGGGGTAGAATTTTCCGGGGAATGCTATAAAGTGTATAATTTTTCGTTACCGATCTTTTTGAAAGCCGGTTACAAAATTATTTCAATTTTTCGGAAATTAATTGACCAAATCTTAATAAATTATATGAAGTAGGGGTAGAATTTTCCGGGGATTGCCATAAAGTGTATAATTTTTCGTTACCGATTTTTGGGGAAATTGATATCAGAAAATTTTCCAATTTTTCGGAAATTAATTGACCGAATCCCAAACAATTGTATATGAAATAGAGGTAGAATTTTCTGAGGAGTGATATAAAATGTATTATTTTTCGTTACCGATCTTTTTGGAAACCGGTTACAAAATTTTTCTAATTTCTCGGAAACTAATTGAATCTTAAAGAATTACATATGAAATAAAGGTAGAATTTCCCCGGGATTGTTATAAAATGTATAATTTTTCGTTACCGATTTTTTTGGAAACCGGTTACAAATTTTTTGAAATTTTTCGGGAATTAATTGACCAAATCTTAAAGAATTATATATGAAATAGCAGTCGTGTCAAAATTTTTTTAATTGTTGGAGGATAAGTTTAATTTTTTATTAATGGATAATTTTTCATTAATGAATTAATTTTCTTGAAACCGGTTACGAAGTTTTTCCAATTTTTCTAAAAAGGTTTTCGATTTTTGTTTAAAAAAATGTAGGTACGTGATTGTTCTAATTTCCTCAAATTTTGAGATATTAGCTAAATTTTTTTAAAAATAATTTTTTGTTACTTTCTTAAAAACAATGCCCAAATTTTTCTAATTTTTCGGGGATGGCGAAGATGTGTATAATTTTTCATAATCAATTTTTTGGAAACCGGTTTCAAAATTTTCTAATTTTTTTATGATGGCTACGATGAGTTTATAGAAAAATTGCTAATAATAAAAAGGTTTCCGATTTCTGCTCCAATTTCCGTAAATTTTGAGATATCAAGCTAAATTTTTTTTATGGATAATTTTTATAGATAATTTTTCGTTACCGATTTTTGTAAAAACCGGTTACAAAATTTTTCAAATTTCTCGGGAGTTAATTGATCGAATTTCAAAGAATTGTATATGAAATAAAGGTAGAATTTCCTGGGGTTTGCTATAAAGTGTATAATTTTTTGTTACCGATTTTTTTGGGAACCGGTTACAAAATTTTTTCAATTTTTCGGGAATTAATTAACCAAATCTTAAAGAATTATATATGAAATAGGAGTCAAAATTTTTTTAATTTTTGGAGGATAAGTTTATTTTTTTATTAATGGATAATTTTTTATTAAGAATTGATTTTCTTGAAACCAGTGCCAAATTTTTCTAAGTTTTCGATGATTTCGAAAAAAGAAAATAAAATAGAAGAAAATAAAAGAGAGTTAATAATGGTGGATCAACGGAGGGTAAAAACGCGCGAGGCACGCGCAAAAATAAAATTTAAAGACTTTAATATAAGGGATTACATTTTTGAAATATTTGACAATATGCTAATCTGCATCTATTATATTATCTATTATTTTTTATTTACAAAAAAAAAATTCGAAGAGATGTAGGTTAGAGTTTGAGGAGAAAGAATATCAAAGGTGCTCCTAATTAATGAGTGAGTTTGGGGAAAGGGGAATAAATTTTGAGCCCGCGCGAAGCGCGGGCGAAAAATCTAGTAAAGTAATATTCGTGGAATAAGAAGCTCAGCAAAAAGCAAATCAACATCGCGTTGCTGCGTTCTAGTTTTCGCTTAATTCTAAATTAATAAACAACATAAATATGTAACAAAAAACTACGGCTAGATTTTTAACTGATGATCTTTTCGTGCCGATATTTACGTATTTTTTGGAATTCCAAAAGATTCATATTATTTATATTATTCTTTTTAAATACAAGAAAAATTGTCTTTTTTTGTCTTTCGAAATAGTCATCATTACCGTGTACTTTCGTCTTTTGATTATAGGTCGCTGTTCGTATTCGACCCTTGGCTTCGAATGAAAGCGGTACGAGATCTTTGCATGCTGTCAACGATAAGGTAAATTTGCAATGCCAATTTATTGCGCGAAAGAGTGCTTCATCGCCATTTTGAAATTTTTTTACACCAAAAAATTTGTACATGTTCTTGAAACCCTAATAAAGATAATGAAAAAAAAATCATTCATGTATCACCGATATTTTGTCTGAAATTAATTCCTGAAAATTCGCCTGTTTCTGCCCGATCTAGAGTAGACTAACCCCTTAAATTCGAACAAAAGTACACATTTACATATTATTTTTTTAATTTAAGTCGGATTTATATAACTTGTGATAATATTTTGTTGATGAATTCGCAGATGGTAATGCTGGAGGATCAGGATAGCGATAAGCAAAAACGCACAATGCCGCGACAATATCTCTACGACATAGTTTTTGGAGAGGCATCGACACAAGTAAATTAATTACTGATGTCAAATCAATTATAGTAAAATATTTTCTGTTATATACTTTATATCTATCTTTTATACAGGATGTTCTCATAGGTTAAACAGCCAAACTTGAAGTATGAAATTAGGATCTTAAAATAAGAAAAATTTTTCTCTGGAAGTATGCTCGCAAACGCTTCGTTCAAGAGATATTGATTTCTGAAGTTACAGAATTAGGAATGAATAATTTCGAAATAATATAGATTTATCCTCTTCATTGCTAAACAGTAATCAAAATTGAAACAATTATCCTCTTTACTGCTTAACAGTAATCAAAATTTACAGTATAAAAATTATAATGTCCTCTTTACCGCTTTACAAAAATCAAAATTAAAATAAGTAATTATTCTCTTTACGGCTTTACAGTAATTAAAATTTTAGTATTAAATATTTTGTTCAGAATGATTGCTTTCAGGCCGGAAACAATCGTTGCACTTATCGGTAAGAGAACGAATGCCTGACTGACATTGTGCGTCTGTTATTTCTTTGCACGGTTGCACTATCATCCGTTTAATGACTGAAGGGTCATAGGCATTTCATACACTTTTTGCTTGAGGACATCCTATTCAAAATATCTATTGGTGTTAAATTATTTTGGACAAGATATTTATTACTTAAATTTTGATTACTGTAAAACAGTAAAGAGGATAATTATTTTAATTTTGAGTAAATGTCTAGATTAAGGGCGAACTCACCGATTTCAATGACCTTGATATATGTTGTCAAGGTCATGACCCCGAGTGACCTTCAGAAGGTTTTAGCCGTCGCTCGTTATTCGTTAAAAAGTTATTAACAAAAAAAGTTTGGAAAATATAACAGTTATTTTGAGTACTAATAGACATAAATAATTGATATTTATGTGGAAATAGTATATGTATGAACGAAGGAAAATTATGTAAAGCAGTAAATTGTTGATAAATTGAAGTATTTAGTTAAAAAAAAAGACGTAATATTAGTCGTTTATGCCTCTCAATACTTAAAATAACTGCTATATTTTTGAAACTTTTTTTGTTAATAACTTTTTAACGAATAACGATAAGCGACGACTAAAACCTTCTGAAGGTCACTCAGGGTCATGAGCTTGACAACATATATCAAGGTCATTGAAATCGGTGAGGTCGCCCTTAATCTAGACATTTACTATAATTTTAATTTTGGTTACTGTAAATTTTGATTACTATTAAGTAGTAAAAAGGATAATTATTTAAATTTTGATTACGGTAAATGTTGATTATTGCAAAGCAGTAAAGAAGATAAACCTACATTATTTCGAAATTATTTATTCACAATAGTTCTGTAATTTCAGAAGAAATATCTCTTGAACGAAGCGAGCATACTTCTAGAGGAAAACTTTTTTGTTTTAAGATCCTATATTCATATTTCAAGTTTGGCCATTTAACCGGGGGACACCTTGTATATATATCGATTTATTCAAAATATATTATTATACCATAGGAAGATGTCTATGAAGGTACAACAACAAAATTAGTGCAGAATGTTCTCAATGGTTACAATGCGACCGTGTTTTCGTATGGCGCAACTGGCTCGGGAAAAACACATACGATGGTTGGAACGTCATCAAATCCTGGAATTATGGTGCGCGCCCTAAATGACATTTTCCTAGCGACCAAAAAATTATCGGACGACATGGAATTTACTGTAAGTTCAAAAAAATAATTTTTATTTATAACACAGGACCACAAAAAAAATTTTTCGGAGAGCAACTGGGACCGTAGTAGACGATTTTTATAGATTTTGGGTAGCTAAAATTGAAACAAAGCCCCATTTTGCTCTAACACGTCAGGATTTTCAAGAAAGTAAGGTTATGTAGGTGAAAAACAGCGATTTTTGGCGGTGTAACAGTGTAATCGACAGTCCGTTACAAAAAAGGTGTGCTAAACAATTTCAACGCGCAAACATGACCTAAAAAAGAAGTTTGCGTGTTTTGCTTATAGAATCTGTCAAACGTAGACTCCGCTCTATTTCTGCCAACAATCTGTGTCAGAAGAAATTTGTATGCCAGCAATCTGTATAGCAAGGATATCAAAGTCTGTTTTATTTTTTATTAATCTGCTATCAAACGCATTAATTCATTCATTCTTTTCTCTAGAATTAATGCGCTTGAAAACACACTCTATTGTGCAATGTGACGTGACTGAGCGCGCGAATTTCGGACACTTTGATTGGTAAACTTTAAACACTTCTTATTTAAAAGCTATTATAGCATCGGCATTTTGCTAACTAGGATTTTTGTCTCAAAATAATCGCAGGCATTTCTTGTTAACATGGGTAGCATGGCAAATCTGAGACACCCTGTATATTATATTAAGGGATTTTGGTGGACATATATTTTAATAGAAAATAATTGTTTATGTCAAAAGTTGTATTAAAACTTATTCTCTTTTTTATTATATATTTTCAAATTCACTATATATTTGTAAGTTCAAATAATAAATATTTGTCATGTAATAAATACTTCACAAAATTATATTACCTAACTTAACTCAAGTGACATGTATTTAAAAAAAAGATGTAAAATCTTTAAATTAAATTGCGCCAATTGTAAAGAGAATATGTATATTGCTTTGAAAGATAATTGTTATGCAACTACTTTAAAGAAATAAAACCCAAGTGGTATCTTCGTATTCCTATTCAAGGGTCTTCCTATTCTAACCCAAGTGGTAATACCTTCTTAATTCTTTTTAACAAATTTTTAATATTACAAAGAATCATTTTAATTACAAAGAATTAAGGAAGTAACAGTACAAAATAAAAATATTTAATTAAAACAAAATAAATAAATTTTTCTTGTAAAAAAACTTGGCGCTGTTTTTTTACTCCTGTCATATTTTTCCCTAAATTATGTTTAGTTTTTTTATTTAATAAAAAATCTTAGTACTAATGTTTAAATTTTAATGTTTAAATTTCAAAGTCTAGCAGCGCCAAGTTTTTTGTTCAATATAGCAATCTTTATAAATTTCTTTCTTTCTAAATATAAATATTCTACACAATCGGAAAACTATTTTACAACATGAAGTAAAAAATGAAGTAAAAAAGCGAAATAATCAATTTTGACGCGATTAAAGGGGATTATCAATGGCGATTGTATTAAACTCTAGTCCATACTGACTAAGAATCGTGGATTATGCGTG